ATTAAAACGGAGGGAGTATTATTAAGCATCATTTACAAGTCAAGCTTTTAAGACCACAAGTTTCAAAAGTCTTTTTTTTTTCTTAAACTCTGTACCGAGTCAAACTACCTCATCTAAATTAAAACGGAGGGAGTATTATTAAGCATCATTTACAAGTCAAGATAGATTGAATGTAGGGCCTTGTTTCTAACTTAAAAATTAACAAAGTTTTTTAGCGCCGGAAATCAAGGCTTCAGGAACTCCAAAAAGATTCAGATAGAAACCAATAAAACTAAAACATAAGAAGTTTTATCAAAACCCTGAAAAAATCATAAAATATTATCTCTCAGTTCATGAAAAAAATGCAGTAAGGGCACCGGATAATTAACTTAAAAAAAGAGAAAAAATGTAATGTCTACAGGATAATAACATTGTGAGAAGCTCTCCTGTTGGACGGGAAGTTGGCCTGACTGGGACCAATTATATGGATCAGGTAGAGCTTGATTTTATTCACTAGGATTTTGGTCACATTTTTGTAGACAGTGTTGCAGAGACCTATGGGCCAGAAATTTTTTAGCATGGAGGCCTGTGGGCATTTTGGTTTGAGGCATAAGAGGGTCTCATTCATTTTAGGGTGCATTATTTTGGATGAGAAGCAATCCATGCAAAATTGTATAACATCATTTCCCACAATGTCCAGTATATTTGGTAAAAGAAGAGGTGCAATCCATCAGGCCTTGGAGCTTTAAAGGGCTTGAAGGAGAAGATTGCTCTTTTGATCTTAATGTCTCTGAGAGGTAGTGCCAGATTGGACTTTTGAACTGTGGATAGTGTATGACAATGTAAGTTTGTACTAGAGGTAAGGATGGGAGAATGGGTGTGTGAAGAGATATAGATAGCACTAAAGAATCTGGTAATGGATTCTTTGATTTCATGGGGCTCATGTTGCTAGTTACCGGCCTCATCTTTGAGCAAAATAATTCTATTTCTCCTCCTTCTATTTAGAGTAGAAGTGTGGAAAATCTGGTATTGGCATCACCATCAGAGAGCCAGTTAATTCTAGATTTCAACCTCTAGAAATCCTCTTCATTTTTTAGGATTGAGTCTAATTCCTCGATTAAGGTGTTTTATAAATTTAGGAGGAATTGACTAAACTGGTACTTTAGAGATTTTTGGATACCAGCAATCCTAGCCAACAGTCTCTTTTTCTTGTGGAATATGTTACCAAAGGTGTGTTTGTTCCAATTAGTGATATTAGTTCTGAACCTTTGAGTTGAGGGAAGTAAGGTGGAGTTTAGTGGGAAGGAGTCCTGAATGAGGCTAGGGAAAGCAGGGTGACTGCACCATATTGACTCAAATCTGAAAGGCCTTGTGTTAACATTTTGGGGGCCATCTTTTAACTTAACTAGAAGGGGATAGTAATCAGAAAAGGTCCTAGGTAAGTGGGTTATAGGGGCTTCAGGAAATTCAGTGATTATTAGCAAAACACCTATCATTTCTTTCTAGGATTATGTTTGTCGTGTTCATATATCTCTTGTTTGTCCATGTGTATTTACTACCTTTGTAGCCTAGGTCAACTAATCTACACTGGTTAATGCAGTTCCAGCATAAATTGCTTCTTCTTGTGTTAATGCAGTTTCCGCCAAACTTGTCTCTTGCTTTTAAAACTTCATTTAAATCCCCACTCACAAACCAACTACCATTTATGCTATTTGAAATATCTATCAGATTTTCCCAAAGGGTTTTCCTATCCTTTATATTACTACTTGCATAAATAGCAGAGAATAACCAATGGGGGTTAGATAGTATTACCTTGACCATTGCATGGAAACCTTGGGGTGTGACTAATATCTTATCCACCTGGGGACATTTTCTTTTCACATGATGACGATGCCTCTAGAGTGACCCACTGCTGGGAACTGGATATGCATATCATATTACAGTTCATCTGTTAGCTTCTTGTGGTCTACCATCTTTGTCTCTAGCAGTACTAACATGGTCGGCTTGTGGATTTTGATCATCTCTGAGCAGTGTCTCCCGAACTCCACATTGTTTGCCCCTCTAACATTCCATATGATAAAGTTTATTAGGGGGTTGTGGTTTGTTTGGGAAGCCACTACCGGTGCCTTTTCCTTCCCCTGGGTAGGCATCATTTCCTTCCTCCTTGCTGCTGGTATTTGTGATCGCATCACTGAAGTTAATGTCAGCAATGGTTTCAGCACTTCATGGCTCTGATGAGAACCCAGGCTCAATCCACATCTGGCAAGTGTTTTGGGGCAGAGCAATATTAGGGTCTTGCTGTAGTCCACACTGAATTTCACTACCCTCACTATCTCCAGCCATAGGGAATCTGTCCTCAGTGGACAATAGGAGCTCTGGTTTGCCACCTCTTTGTTGGTTTCCTGTCCTTTCAGTATCTCTAGTGCTTTTGTTATCTCCCTCGAAATATTCCCTAGTGGTGGTGATTGTTGTTTCTCCGATGCTGAAGATGAAGGTTCCTGCTGGGGCCATTGTTCTATCACTGAGAACTGTGGCATCGCCGCTGGGTCTGGTGTTGTTGGGTCTTGGAAGAAGGGGATCGAGTTGAAGATTTGTTGCATGAGGTTGTGCACTGATGGAGCATCGTTGGGTTGCTGTGGTGGGTTGAAGCTGCTTTGTAGAATCATCGATTGCTAGAGTTGGGTTCTAAATATCGCCAAACCCGTGTTTAGAGCCTCCATTGTTATCCTTGCTAGATGAACCGGGTTTTGGATGATAAGGGTGATTGGCTGATTTTCCAGCTGAAAATTGTAGAACGGGCCATTACCTTGGAGTGCCACTTCCAACCAAGATGTCGGTGTGTGGTATAGTGGCGGCGGGGTGGAAGTCAAAATGATCGAGGGTTTGGTAGGTTGGTCCATTTTAGGGTTTCTTTGATTTTTCCTTTTTTGGACTAGTATTAATTAGGGGGTTTGGGGGTAATCAAGAGTCATCACTGATATTGGAGTTAAATCATCACCCATATTTTGGGTTTTGCAAACTGTGTATAATACCTGAGATATTAAATTAAATGTGTACCGATTGAATTGACAGAAAGTGTCAAATCATCTGAGCTTTGGTGGTTTCTCTGATACGGCACTTGAGTGTCCATGGAGGGGTTTTTGCAGGATTGTTTGGTAGGGGTGATGTAGCTCTGTAGGGGGCATTATTGGTAATAGGGTTCTCCAAGTGGGTATGGACCCTTGTGACAGAAGGGGTAACTGGGTCTGGGTGGGTCGTGCTTTATTGACTTGACAGGCCCCACTTGTTCCCTTTGGGCCTGTTGCTCTGTTTTCTTTGGGGGGCCGTTTGAACTAGACCTTTTGAATTTGTATGTCCATTTTCTTTGCTGAGAGTTGGGTCTTTACCTGCTGGGGCTGCTTTCCTCTTTGTGCTTGTGTTGGATTGTTCCCGCATGGGCTGTTCCCGGGTGGTTTGGCTCTTTGAGAGAGGGGTATTCTTCCTTGGACCGTGATTTGTGTTGGTAGGGAATTCAGAATTGACCTGTATGGGATTAGTCTTAGAGTTGTATCGAAATGTCTTAGTTTCAAGAAACTTACCGGAGCTTGCATCGAACATTTTTGACTTGGATACCCCTAATTGAGGTGGAATCTTTTTCATTTTTTGTCGGTGGCATTGTAATCTGGCCTTGTGGTGGAGGATGTCCCTGTTTCCTTCTTCTGGGGAAGATAATTGTTTTCCATTCTTCTCCCTCATCGGCATTGACTCTTGAAGAGGAGCATTCAGGTTGGTCTTGGCTTGGAGGAGTGCACTTTTGTCTGTGAGTACACGATTTTAGGGTGTCCTATCCTTCCACAACCTGTGTATATGATACTTTTCCCTTCGTATATCACCGCTTATTTGTGATCCCCAATAGTGATGGATGTTTCTACTGGTGTTTCTAGTGGTGCTTGTATACAAATCCGCACGTGTCTTCCCCTTAATGTAGATGATGTGCACGTATCAAATTTGAGTAGTTTCCCTAGCTTCCTCCCAACCTTCTCAAGTATCTCTTTGTCGTAAAATTCTATTGGTAATTGTGGCAACCGCACCCATATAGTAGTGAACGACAGTGTTGCCTCTTGTGGGACAAATTTTGGTTCCCATCTTCTGACTGAGAGAAAGTATTCTGACATGAACCATGGTCCTTGGTGTAATGCCTTTATCAGATTCTCCTCCTTTCCAAATTTAACTATAAAGAAATCCCATCATAAGTCAATTAAGATTAACTTGTTCGAAGGGTTCCATAGATCAATTAGTTTGGATCGAAGTAGATGATGTGGCATTCTTCTACCAAAGATTTTGATTATAACCGAGAAACGTCATGGTTCATATAAGCGGGTTTTATCATCTTGGGAGAGGATGATTGGGCCTAGATTTTCCTTGCCCTTTTCATCTTTTTCTGTTGTGCCAAGCTCATTTGTGTAGTATTCAGTTTGAGTTGTATCTTTCTTGTCTAATAGTATCTAAATTGTTCGGACACGGATGCGGGTATCCGACACGGCTGTGGATCTAGAGATCGGATCTTTCGAGATGTAAATTCTAAGATTCGGGAATACAGATCCTAGTACGGATACGGATGCGGGGATCTGGCTAAAAATAATTCAAAAAATAGAAATATAGAAATATCTCTAAATTATGAAAAATTTGTGGAATACTTACAGATAGCTTGTAAAGTGTGGATTTCTTTTTTATTCTCAAGTTGTTGATAAGTAAATAATTGATTTTCTAGATAAGGTATGCTATTTTCTTCAAATGCATCCTAGGTTTGGTTATGATTTCGGGAATCAAATTGTATCTCGTCTCAAATTTTTTCATTTGTCGTGGTCAAAGTACACAAAATTATCTGACCAGATGCGGTACGGATCTCATACCCACACTCATACTAGTATCGTGTCGATACGAGTGCGGTACCTAAATTATCGTGTCGGAGCAACTTAGAATAGCATTTCCTTATAAGAATGTGTTGGGTTAACGTTTTCATCCATGGGGTTAATGTCCGGTGTTTCCGGAGGTATGTTGATTGGTTTGGTTGTATTCTCCGTTCTATGGGTAGTGAGACGTGAGAGTTTCTCACACAAAATAAGTTCTCCAGGTAAGCATTTGTGCTCATTAGTTTGCCATTATCTAAAGTTAGAATTGGTAGGTCAATAAACCAACAGTTTACGTCCAAGTCTCAAATAATTACTTTTTTAGGCACGTTAAGCTAAGCTATGCACGCAAACCGTCATTACTCCAACATAAATTGTTAAAAATATTATCCTATATTAGATTAACACTTTCTTTATTCCTAAAGGTTCCTCCTTTTCTGGAAATTTATCCTATTAGATTCCTAATATCTTCTCAATGGACAACGCTTGGCCAGAAATTCAAAAGGCCATGTTCATATCAAATTGTAAATAGACATATTTTTTTCTCAATTTCTCCAAAAATTCGTTAAGATCACAACCTTATTAAATGTCAGGTTTGTTTGTTGGAATTCTGTGTATTGCAAAAAGGGGTTTTCAGTTCCGATCATTCGATTCACTTTCCCATTCTGCTTCTTCCCAGGTATGTGTACTCAGATCTTGTGAAATTTTTTCATGTGAATTTAGTTAAAAGAATAAATTTATATATTTCTTATTTTTGCATTTGAATGAACAGAAAGAGCAAAGAATTAGTATAGGAAGCCATGGATACAAGGATGAGGAGCTAGGTGAAAAAGCTAGAGAAGCCAAGCAAAGATTGGATCACAAGCTAAGAAGGTAATTTCAGCTTGTCTGTAAATAATTTTTGTTCTTTTGCTTACCTTTAGTTTACTACGTAAATTTAGGTAAAAGTTTAAGAATTCTTGGTTAATTGCTATGCTAATCAAGTTACTGTATTAAGATGAGGAAGTGTATCTGTTCTTTTTTGTTTAAAAAAAAAATCTTTTCTTTTTGTGTGTTTCGTTCTGTAACTCATAGGGGGACCCAGGATTTGATCGTGGCGGGTGCACTTTTGGATTCAACCAAAATATGCTTTGTATATAGGGTGTCACTGCTAATATATCACTATTTTCTAAAAATATATACATGCATATATGGAATTTTTGCCGAACTTTACGGGTGCCGTGACCCCTCTTGGTATAGCATAGTTCCACCTCTGCTGTAACTCTTAAGACTCCAAAATCTAATTAGGAGAGCTTATTTTGCTTGTCTTCTAGAGATTTTTCCATACTACTGTATATTTTTTCTTTATGATTAACCATTTGGTATCTGAAACCAACTGGCTAGACTAATCTGAATGCGCGTCATATATGGTCCACTAAAAGGGGAACGATCTGTACTCAATGTTAACTTACAAGACTCCAAAGTCTAATTAGGAGAGCATATTTTGCTTGTAGTCTAGAGATTTCTCCATACTCTAATATAAAGAAAGAACCTTCTCACTTCTTCAAGATAAAGTAAAACTGAGCTTTTAGCTAAAATTATATATCCCTTATGTTTTGGGTAGGTAAAAAGGTGTCCTCCATATACAACCTTGGGCATCTTTTAACCTTTAACTTTCCAAAACATGAGTGGATTTAGTTCGAGTAATGAAATGAACTAAAGAGAAGCTAAAACTAATGGACAAACCACAAGTGATTTGCCCATGAGAGGGGGATAACGAGTTTCATCCATTCTAACTTTTCATAGATATAGTTAATTTCAATTACAGGCATCTATACATAACTCAGCTTGTCAGTTTGATCGGGCTATTTTACCTCTGTAATGAATAGAGATTGTGTATACTTATATGATGTTAGATTTACTTCACTCTTACTCGTCAACTTTCTGGTAACACGGCAAGGGTATTCAAATCTTATGTGCGGTTGTCATTCTCCGTTGGAAATCACTGGTTTGATCTTCTTTATATAAAGTCCTAAAATGCGTTTTCTGAGGGAAAGTTGGCCTCTTGATGCGAGGGAATTGTAACTTGTGGGATTTGAAGAAGCATCTTGTTTTGAGCTTGCCTTGGGAAGTTATCCAATGACGGAAGGTGGGATAATGTGAAAAATGAGGATTTGGTGGAGGTTTCATCTTTTTTCCACATCTGGCTACTGCCCTTAAAAGGGACTTCTCTTTTGTTAACTGACTTAATATGTTGTGCTTAAGAAATATATATAAAGATTCTGTTTGATCATCCTCCCAAGTACAAAATCTGCACTCTGCATTCTGATAATTTGTTTCTCCTAGTCATGAGCTCATAAATTTTATTTTACTACTTACCTCTGGAGCGTCTAGGAACCCGGGGTGGTGGGGCGGCGGAGAAGATTTATCATCAGTTCACTGTTATGTATTTGCTGGTTGGATTTCATCAGTTGTATGGGATGGGGTGAAGTACAGAGTTGGGCGTTCTTTTTGCCTCTCATGTGGCTTTCATATGTGAGCTGTTGTTTCTTTGCCTTGTCTGTTAGTTTTCTTCGAAGAATTGGACCAAATCCGCTCAAATGTTTCTTACTGAAAGGGTAAAGGATGCTCAGAATTATAAATGGAGGACTATTTTGACCTATCTTTAAACATAAAGGATAATTTTGGCTAAAAATTGAAGTAAAACCTGCATGTCGTGCTAATTATAGGAACATTATAGACCTAAGTTTCACTCCTTTTAGCTTTGTTATAAAATGAAATTATCTTTGTAAAGGTCCTTAAACTCTTCGGCTCATATTGATTTACTTAAGACACATTCTAACATAGTACGGGGTGTAACATACTTCCCCCCTTTAGGAACATTCGTCCTCGAATGTAAAGGCGTCTTAGAGGAGAAACTAGCTCTTATGTATTTTATAGAAATTTCGATAGAGTCTTCTCGGTAAACATAATTACCCCATACCTGTCAAATAGCTAGAAACATACTATATGCCACACATGGCATAAACAATAAACAATATCTCTTTGGCCTCACATGGCCATCAGCTTCAATAAAAATACCATAAACTGTAACTTACCTTATGCCCAAATAATTCTGCTTCTAAAAATGTTGTACTCAAGCATTTATAATATTTCATTGATAAAGGATTCCATCGCATATCGGATAGCAATAATGGAAAATACCTACTCACACCCGTTGTTTTACCCCGAACTACATTTCTTTATCATGGTTATTTTGATAATTTGATAAATTGTACTGTGTGAAAAGTATATGTCATATATTAGTTGATTCAGTACAAACACCGGGTGTGAATAAGTTTTTCCTATAGCAACAACCATGTGATTGTTTTTCTTAAGGCATGCATCTCATTATTACATCCTCATATTCGGTGCGGAGTTAAAATATTTTATGTTAATGTGACGTCGGTGAGTTTATACTTCATTGTGGTTACTGAAAACAGGACAAGTAAAGAAGAAAGAGTTAATGATGTTGAAAATGGGCAAGTAGAATCAAATACTTTGCAGAAGAATTCAGAGATGCTTAGATTGAAGCAAAATGGAATAAAGACGTTTAGCAGGGTAGTAAAGCAATGGAAGGATTCAGAAAAGTATGAATGCACCATTTGCTTGGACCAATTCAAGGTTGGAGATAACTTAATGCATTTGCAATGTGACCACAAATTCCATTCATGTTGTTTGGTTCCATGGTTAGAGAATCATGCTTACTGCCCTTGCTGCAGAGTGGAGATTGTCACTTGAAAAATGGATTGCTATGTTGCGCGGACTCTCCAAAATACTGCCTCACGCCCGCACCCGTATCGGATTCTCCAAAAATACACTACTTTTGGAGAATCCGACACGCACCCGGCTACATTTTTGGCAAGTCCGAGCAACATAGATGGATTGTGCAGAGTTTGTACAGATGAAGTTTTAAATAAGGATTGTATTAGTAGTCCAACCTTTTGTGTTTAATAAGTTGGTGTTGATCTCTAGAGAAAGAGAAGTGAGAGATACTTAGGGCTTCATTTACATATTATACTAGATTTAAAAATGATGTAATTTGAATCCTTGTCTTATGTATAGTAATGTCTTCTGTTATTTTGGTACTATAGCATTTCATTCCTCCTTCTCTAGCATCATCTGATTTCTGCAGTTATGTACCGGGAAGATGCGGAGGTCAAGGATTAGTGTTGTACATTGACATATAGTAGTATGTTCCTCCTAGGCCGACTAGTAGTACTAGGACTATTTTTGTAACTTCCTATGTATGGTTCTTTATTATGCATGTTGGGACATTCACGCCCGTTACCATGTTACATTGTTGCTAATATTCTTTGCTACTTGGTTGCTTTATCTTCACTGATCCTTGAGCCGAGAGTCTATCGGAAACAGTCTTTCTATCTCTATGAGGTAGGGGTAAGGTCCGTGTACACACTACCCCCGAGACCCCATTTATGAGATCAAATTGAGTTTTTTTTTGTTGTTGTTGTTGCAGCGCTGGGAAGATGCAGAATCTTGCTGCTTGTATCCGAAGAAGTTTAGACAACCAATTTTGTTTGCTTATGGATAGAAAACTAAGGTAGGAGGCTAGTAGGTAGTTGAGAGTGTGTTTTTCCAATACCAATAGTAGTGGTGTTAGTCTTGTATTCTATTATTATATGTTGTTCCATTCGCTTCATTTTCTTATTATCTTGTTGTTACTGCTTGTTGCTACTACTTTCTTTTCATCTTTTCTTGAGTCAAGGTCTATAATAAACGGCCTCTCTACCTTCGAGGTCTGCGTACATACTACTCTCGCTAGACCTCACTTAAGGGAGTATACTGGGTTTGTTATGAAAGTAAAAAACTAGAAAAATTGGAGCATAGCGTGCACCTATGCAGGAGTTGAAACGATTGCTCATTTTACAACATGTTTTAAACTCTTCTTTCGATCACTTTTAATGGTGGTTAACGATAAGCTTATTTTTCGAGTAGTTGCTTTATTATTAATTTTGCGTATCATTTCAGATGGCGCCGAGCTATAAACTGAGCTATCAATAATGCCTATACTCAGGGTCTTAATTAAAATGGTTAATGTTCTTTTTATATTATAAATATATATTCTTAATTATAATACAAATACATATTCTTGATTACAGATTAGGGTTGGCCTAGGAAAAGGCATATTATGGTCTCATCAATGGTCGATCTTCCACATCTTAATGTGTTAACAATTTAACATATAGGTGTCGAGATCGAAGGTTCATATATAACATGGTACAACAATAATTATGCTTCAGTCTCAAACAAGTTGGGATCGACTATATGCATTCTCACTTCTCTTTACATGGTTGGTATAGTGAAAATATTGTTAATATCTTAGAGCCCGTTTGGACATATAAAAAAAAAATCACTTTTTTCGAAATTTTTTTACTTTTTTCGAAATTAGTGTTTGGCCATAAAATTTTCAATTTTCACTTGAAAATGAATTTTGGAATATTTCGAAAATTTAAAAAACTCCAAAAAGCTATTTTTCAAAATTTTCACTCAAATCACTCGTAAAACTTCAAAAACAACCCAAAATAATATTCATGTCCAAACACAACTCTAATTTTCAAATATCATTTTCACTTGAAAAAATTTTCACTTTTTTTTTGGAATTTTACAATTTTTGAGTCCAAACGCTCACTTAATCTCCTGACAAAACTTTTAAAAAAACTTCATTTATGGCCATCCGCTAGAAACTAATATCAGCCGCTAGCCACAAATTGCAATATGCATTTTATAGCCCAAAATCAATTATAACGGCTAGCCAATTAAGTAGCTAGTCCATTTAATATCAATTATGACTAAGCTATCAGCCCAATTCCAAGCCCAAACGATCAAAGACCAAACCTGCAATCCCAAATATCTCACCCTAGAGATAAAAATCATATTTTTAATCTCCTTCTCTTCCTACCACCCCCTTATCAACCCTTTCCTCTTCTATGCTAAAATTTAGCTTGTTTTTTACCATGGCAGAAGCTTGGCCCCTCCAATTTTGAGTAAGTCTTTTGTCTCTCTCGATTTTCCCTTTAAAACCCATGACTTTTTCTTTTCTCTCGTCTGCAACGAGATTTGGTCAACNCCCCCCAATCTTTTTCTAGAGATATGCCTATACAAACGGTCAATTTATCTGCTGCATTTTAAAACGGCTCTTTGATCGTTTGGACTTTGAAATCCTACTCGATCTATAAATACCAATATTTAGGAGTTTTGGAGAGCGATTTTTACCTCTATAGAAGCTCATTGCTTCTTTTCTGATCATTGTTATTTCCTCTTTGTAATCTGTTTCAGAGGGTTGGCTCCCATTTGGCCCCCAAGTATCAATTACTCTCCCTATCCTCTGTTGCATCTCGTACATATCAAACATGAATATTTTATCAATCTCTTTTTTGGACCAACTTTTTCATAAAAAAAATTATATATGGGGCTAATATTTAAAAGTCATTTTAGATTATGTATTAGACTGGAGAGCATTATATATATATATATATATATATATATATATACAAAATAAACTGTCACTATACAAAAATTATACAAAATAGACTGTCACTATACAATTTATATATAATAGATTGTCATTATACAAAAAATATACTAAATAGACTGTCACTATACAAAATATATACTAAATAGACTATCACTATACAAAAAAATATAAAAAATATACTGTCACTATATAAAATATATACAAAATAGACTGTCACTATACAAAATATATGCTAAATAGACTGTCACTATGCAAAAAAAAATACAAAATAGACTGTCACTATACAAAAATTATACAACATAGACTGTCACTATACAAAATAGATATTTCGGGCTATTAGATGTAATATGTTTGGGCCGAAGGGCCATTTTGTGTCAATGGGCAAAAACATGGGCTATTAATTTTCCAAAACATATCTGGGCCACCTAGTAATTTTCTTTTTGGGCCTATAGTTTGCCATGGCCCAAACGCATCCAATAAAGTCAGAAACAGTTGAAACTTTAGAAAATGACACGATATCGTTTTCATACTAGCTCAACGTTTTAAAATTCCAACGGCTAGTTTTTCCACTGACCGTTTGAAACCTCTACCTCATTACAACAAAACCTTTCACCATCAAACATACAAGAAAATTTTCGCATTTCAAAATACAAATAGGATCAATTCATAGCTTTAAATTCTCAAATCAAATTCTCATACAAAAAAAGAAGACAAATTCAAGAATGGTTTATTCATACACACCAACATACTACAGCTCACTCCATGATTCAATTACTTCTCTTTGTAAAACCATTCTCCCATTTCCATTCAAGAAAAGGCGATTACCCGCGATTGCAGCTGCTGAGCAGAGGTTGTCGAAGCAGCAATCCGACAACCTTAAATGGCAACAAGAATCTTTTCATCAAATTCTTAATTTGATGGGTCTTTGTAAAGAAGGAATCTTGGCTGAATCCGAAGTTTCTGCTTTCAGATCACATCTGCTCGATACCCTTATCGCATCTCCTGCTGATCATGAACATTCTTCCATTTTAAGGGATAAGTTGATCTTCTTGCAGGTAATTTTTCCCTTTTAACTTTGTCTCAATTTTTTAAATTTGTGTCATTTGATGGGGAAAAAATAGATAACTCAATTTATTTGCAATTTCAAGTAGATTTTCAAAATTGAACTGAAATTGCCGCTTTGGGGAGTTGGGGTGCTTTTACTTCTTCTTTTTTTTCTTTTTTGGGTTGTTATTTTTATAATTTTTTGGCTTTTCATGTAAAGCTTAAATTTCTTTATAGTTGTTCTTTTTGAAGGAATTAGGCAAGTACATTTTCCAAATTAAACTCAAATTTTGAGCTTTTGGGAGTTGGGATTTTTCTTTTTATTTTGGTTGTGAGTTTCTTTTACATAAATTTTTGGTTTTTCTTGTAAAGCTTAAATTTTTCCTTGTAAAGTTGAGATTTTTCTTCTTATTTAGCCTCAATTCTTGCACTTTGTTTCCTTGAAGTGATTGTTGATTTTTTTTTTATCATGATTTGAGATGATCCATAGATAGCTATATTTATTTGTAATTTCAACTACAGTTTAATAAGTGAACTGAAATTTCAGCTTTTTGGTAGTTGGGGTTTTTCTTTTTCTTTTGGTTGTTTATTATAATTCTTTGTTTTTCCTGTAAAGCTTTAGTTTTTTTGAAGAGCTTGTTGTCAATTACATTTTCCAAATTAAGCTGAAATTTCAGCTTTTGAGACTTGGGATTTTTCTTTTTCTTTTGGTTGTTTTTATTTTTATAAATTTTTGGTTTTTTCTTGTAAAGCTTGAATTTTTTATTTTTTTTAATGGTGTTTCTTCTTGAAGGAGCTACTGTATGCAAAATGTATATCAGAGGAAGAGTATCATGCATCAAAGAGGCCATTATTGCAAAGGCTAGCAGTTCAAGGAGCTGAGATTGAGGCAAAACATGTAGTTGTTGGATCAAAGAAAGAAGGCACAGATGAGGAATGGTCTGTTATAGATTTAAAGGATGAAAAATCCTATCTTGGCAAAGAGAATTCGAGTTCGAAGCAAAAGCAAAACTCGGCTATCAAGCAAATCAAAGGAGGGGCTGCTTCAGTTTTTGGCTTTGCATCGTCGAATAAAAACGGAAAGATCAAAGAAGAAAGAGGCATACTTAGTGAAAATTGTAGGCAAGATTCTAAATATGAAAGAAATGAATTAGGAGTTTCAACAGAAAATCCCTTTTGGAATACTCATTTGAAGGAAAAAGATAGTGAAACTAAGTCTATTCTTATGGTAGAGAGCTTACCTAATGAACCAATGAAGGTAAAGAAGCAAAGTGGAGGTGACAAATCAAGAAAGAAACCTTTTAAAGGTCTGTTTTTGAGAGAACAAAATGAAGGGCAGAGCGATGATCATCAACGTGCTGAGCCTGAATCTGAAGGAAAGACGAAATCAGGGAAGAAACAATGGGGATTTGATGGATTCAAGAAGTGGAAGAAAAATGACTGTGAAGATGAAACAGCTCCATTGTCGCTTGATGAAAAATCGGATGGTGGAACTTACTTAGGTCAGCTTGTTGCAGAACCTGTTGGAGAAGGTCCAGATACTAAGCAGATTAAAAGAAAGCTGCATCCAAATGGTTCACCCTCGGATTTCTTTGTCGATAAGGTCTCATTCATACAACATTCATTTATTGAAGAAAATACTTACTTCAATGTGATCTAATGTTTTTGTTGCACATTTTCAGGTTTTAGGAGACAGTATCAAGAAAGAGCTTTCAAGAATTCAAACAGAACTTGGTGCCAAAAATTCAAGTGTTGCGTTAACGTAAGCAAATATCTGTTTCTTTATGTTACTCTTTCTAGTTTTTTTAGACTTGTTGAATAGAGTTGGATTTTTACTAATTGGTATCACACAACAGAGATGATCAGATTGAAGCAATTTCAACCAGGCTTCCAGTTGACAAGGCTGACCTTAAAAAGTTCTTCCCTAAGTAAGCACACTTTTGTACTGCTTTGTGTACGCGAAATCAGACATTACTTCACACTAATTTTTCTTTGACGATTTCAGAACGTGGTGTGATCGATATGGAGACGTTGTTTTGGATGTGGTAAGGAAGGAATTCAAGAACCATGTTGGAGAAATGGGAAACTTAAGAGGAGGTGGTGGTATTATTACTAAGGAGAAGAACAACTCAAAAAGATGGACAACATTTGATGAAAGTGATGATGATGAAAATTGCCACCCAAATCTATTTGCACCTCAACAAGATCATCATACATTACCTTCTAAACAAGCCAAAGTCCTCACTCCTTTGAAAAGTGGTCAAGTTTATGTTAATAGTAGCATTGATAAGGGCTTCAAATATAATCCTTTCTTTGATGTTTAAGAGTAAAAGTCATTTGGACAGTAAAAGAAAGCTGAGAACTAATCAGCTTTTTTTGTGGACTCTACTTATTATAGCTTTAGCCAAATCTATGGCTTTCTGTTAGGATTGAAGATTGTCTTTATTTGCCCCAATTGCTATTTTGTGCTCTACCAGAGATACACTATTAATGTAAATCATCTTTGGATGGTTTTTTCCTGTTTATTTATACCGGACATGTTGACATTTATAGTAAATGTGATTGACAACCATATTGAATGGTGCCAAAACATAAGTTATTAACATCTTTGTACTCCTTTTGGTCTATACTGCTTCATACTATTTGAGAACAATAACAACAATATACCCAGTATAATCCCTCAAGTGGAGTCTGAATAGGGTAGTGTGTACGTAGTCTTATCTTATCCCTGTTTTTGTAGGCAGAGAGGCTATTTCCGATATACCCTCGCAAGCATGCATAATCAATCACAACAGAATAGAGAGAGAAATGCAGTAATGAAAAAGTCAAAGAAGCGGTAATACGAACAAGAGAGTAGAATAACCGGAGCAAAAGCATCCAAGTGGTAATAGAAATTTAGGAATATGATTAATACTATTTGAGAAATCTTTAAAAAAAAAGTGTAACTACAACTTTTCAATCGTGTCCTAAATATGTACTAATTTGTTACTTGGAGTTACATATTTTATAATAGTTGTTGTAAGACTAGCTTGCACACCCTCGCATTATAGCCACAGGTACACTCTGCACAAGGCTTAGGCAGACAAAGAAACCACCTATCTTTTCCTCTATTTTTTGCCATTTCTAGGATTTGTACACTAATCTCAGATTATTTTCACCCCATTTCATTGGTAGGTCACATCCTTTGTTGCGGTATTTTATCTACATTATACTTCAAACAAAATAAGGAATCAAAAACCGAATTCATTGTAAAACTTAGATGTCTCAATTCTCATACCTAATCTCATCTTCTTTTTCCCTTTTTTTGGAACATTATTTTCAAGGCAGTCCCAGGATTTGCAGGCCGGGGTGTCCACTACTAATGTATCAATATTTTCTAAAGACACATAAAATTTTTGCCAAACTTTACGGGTCCCCTCTCGGTATAGCATGGTCCGCCTGGGGGGTTGAGGAGTTTGATGGAGGGAGAATGTAGAAAATTGTCTGCTGACATTACTTTACAGACTTCTGCATCAATATATGACTTCTCATCTCAAAATGATCAAACAAAACAAGCAAGGATTCCAATTGCAGGCAAGACAAGCCAGATCTTGGCTATGAAAGTCTCTACTATAATATCATATAGAGATATGGAGCTTCCCCTATTACAGACATCTGTATACATTAATAAGAATACATATATTCACCTATTTCCTAAGCCTCAACCAAGTACAGTGGCATGTGCGTTGTAATATTATCTGTTCCATAAACTTTAAAATGTGCCTTCTTAACAAGGGTGTGTCGCAGAGCGAAAGCTGCCATATACATCTGTACATGCTCTCCACAAAATTGCATGGGGCAAAGTCAGAAAGAGGAAAAGGAAGAGGCCCTTATTCTCTCACCTTCTATTGAGAATAAGGCGAACGAAGAAAACTTGGGGAACTGAAGCTACCCATCATCCGATCCTTCTACGTTCAACGTGCTCCGATAGGTGATACAACAATCTTTCCTTCACTATATTTACCAAATAACAGATTATGGAGTCAGGTTTTTAGCTTGCGTTCCTTTTCCCTCTTCCCCTCCCTTTCCCTCTCTATTACACTAGAGATACCTCAAAGAGAAGGTACTGCTGAGTTAGAAACTGAACCTTCAACAAAACCATTTCGGACATCTCCTCTGCAAAGTGGGCATACACTGTGAAGAGCCAACATATGGAAAAACACCATGTTAGTAAAGGATAAAAGGTCTCCTCCTTTAGTACCATTCTCTCCGCCGCCACCCTATTGGTCTCTTGGTGGAGACAAGTGGAAAACGGTGAGAGAACAGAACTAATGTAAAGAAACGTAAATCAAGAGTAAGGTGCAGTTTCATGTTACCCGTGTATCTCTTTGAGCCATTTATCCACACATGATACATGAAACTCATGGTGACAAGGTAGAACTCGTATTTTATCTCCGTCCTCATACTCGGCTAAGCATATGTGACACCTACAAATTGTATAGCATGATCATAAATTACAAAACTTGAACCATCAAAAAGCCATGACTAGTTTGACATATAAAATTACTACCACATAACTACATCGCATCATTTGTCAACAAAAAAAAAATTGTTTGCAAGTCATAACGCCTTATTGCACATTGTAACTGGTTTTAACTCGTTTTCATATAATTCTACTCCTTCAACTCCATAGAGACAGAGAAACTTACTGTGGAACATTGTTGCCAGTATCTACTTCGTCTGATTTTGAGTAACTCTTCACTGGGAATGAGTCCACAACTGACTCTGGAGCTGGAAGTGATAATACAGATAAGGACAATGACATCGGTTGCCGATGTATTTCATCCAGGACCTGCAATTTGCCATTAGTGTCAAATAGTTGATGACTTCCACTAATGAATGGAAAACCACTGCTAGAACATGATGGATCTGTCGAAGAAAGAGAAAACTTAAATGTAATATAATGTATCTCTAAACCATGCAAATTAAGGGTATTTAACAGGTCTACATACCAAGCATTGGGTATTACGTATAGCAACAGATTAAGCAGACCTATGTAGATATTTATCTAACATTACAACAGCTTCCTCTCTCCCAACCTCATTCCCCTCATCTCCGTTCAAATATGTTGCTCGGACTCTTCAAGAATGTTGTCGGGTTTGTATCGGTTCCTCCAAAAGTAGTGCATATTTGAAGGAACAACACTGGTGCAGCAGCATATTTGAAGTCCGAGCAACATAGTTAGAAATAGCTGATTGTTGGGCTTCTTACGATACTAGCATTTACCAAAAGATTTTATCATTCATTGTGGTCATTCATAATTATTATCTTGGCTTCGGTTTTCTATATATCTTGTGTTATTACTACGTGTTGCCACTGCTTCTTTCATCTTTTCTTTAGCTGAGGTCTATTGGAAACAACCTCTCTGCCCTCCCAGGGTAGGGTAAGGCTGCGTACATCACACCTTACCCAGCCCCAACTTGTGGGAATCCACTGGGTTTGTTGTTATTATTATGGTCTTTCATAAGATTTTACCATTCATGAGAACCTTTTAAATCAAACAAAAAAAAATGAGAACCTTTTAAATAATCAATATTGTCTTAGTTCTTTAAGCTGGATTCATCTTCATTTACAAAGATTCACTACCAATGACCCATTTCTACATGTACTTCTTTTGGTCCTTCCAACATAAAAACTCTCTCCCTCCCTATTTATAAGACCCACTTTCCATTGTGAGACGTGCCAATTTAATTCAACCTACACATAGTATTGTTTTATACTTATATTATTAGATATAATTCTTATTTCTTCCCACAACTCAAATTCATTTAAACAATTAAATTTATACAAAGACGTGTTGTTTTCGCATCACATAGCTTTTCGATCATTAGTCTTTTGTTCTCTTCTACCAATTCAATCAACGAGTCAAAATTCCTTATTAAGCTTCATACGTAGAGCCCGTTTGGATTGGCTGAATTTAAGTAGCTTTTAATGAACCAAGTGCTTAAAAGCATTTTTTAAGTGCTGGAGTTGGTTTTACAAATAAGCAGTTACGTGTTTGGATAGAAGTGCAGAAGCTGAAAAAAAATTGTTGAAGTGTTTGGTAAAAAGTGTTTATCAATATATTTTTGGATAAAACAACTGAAATATCCTTAAAATTGTTAACTCCATAAATGAGCTGATTACCACAAAGACTTTTAATTCTAAATTAATTCAAATATAAATTAATTTATGTCTCAATCCATTTTCAATATAAATGGATTAGATAAATTTTAAATTTGTTTTGCTTACATTTCTTTATCAAATCAGTTTTCTAGGATTAAACTTTATATTCCTTCCATTTTAAATGAATAGAAACCAGCGAAATGCAATAGAAGCCACTGCAATGAAGAATTAGAGTACTAAATACTTGAGTTTCTTTGATGAAAAAAGCATACTGCATCAAAATATATTCCATGCGACATTTAGCTCATATTAAAATAAAGATATATTCCAACTCTATGCTAGGGCACAAATCAGTAGAAATTACAGTAGGTTTCTTCACACTAATTTTCTTGAGCATAATGTTATTGGGGGATAGTAAGAAAGGATCCCTGAAGCGATGCCGACAAATCTCATTAATAATTACTCCGTATACCTACCTGGTTATGCTATAACCAAATTTAAAAATTATCCTAGAGAAGAAAGAAAGAATAAGCCACATAAAAGAAGAAACAGAAAGATAGCATAGAAGGAAGACAGAGACGAGATGGACAAATGACACAGGAAAGACGACGAACGAGGAAGGAAGGTTAATTTTGGAATTATATAAAAGATAAGGGATAGGAAAGTAAATTACTTGGCCAAACATGGACGGTTTTTAATCCAAAAGGCAATAAGTCGGGCACCCCCCAACTTATGGCTTTAGCTTGTTTTGACTTAAAAGCAAAGTACTTTTAAGCATTTTAACTTGCCAAACACAAAAACAAGCTAAAAAGGGCTTAAAAGCTAGTTTGACCAGCTTTTAAGCCCATCCAAACACCCTCCTAGTCAAATTGCATTACATGAAATGGAAGTGTATAACGTGGCGAACTGAAAAGAACAGTAGTACTAATTGTTTGCACCAGTCCTAATACGTGATGACCCTAAACCGTAGTAGAAAGTATATTCCTACTAAGTAGGTGACAATCTTAACCGAAACAGCCTTTTCCTTAGAAAGTAAAATGAACTTTTATTGATAATGAGGGAAACAATGGACTGCTGAGCATTTAATAGGGAAAACTGCTCCACATATTAAACAATACTGGAGAGGCCATAAAGAGACTAAAAAGTTGCAATATGAAAAATTACCTCAAACAATGCCTCAGCAAGCATAACTATTCGTGATATACTTGCGCGACTGCCAGTTTCTCGACTCATCAAAATTGTCTCACATGAACATGGGCCATCTGCGTGAATCCCAGTTGGACAAGTTGCACTTCGATGATCACTAGCAATAAGACCACCAGGAAGTCTTTCCCACATCTGCAAAGAGATAATAGCCATAACTCAGTGGAGCAGCAATCAGACCTTCCACTGCAGCAAAAAATAAAGTACATCACGTCACCTCAGATCTGGAATGTCGTCGCCGTTCATTACTCCCACTAGTCCGACTTCCATTTGATGGAAAATTACCTCCAGCCCCCTCATGAAGGGAATTATCGCTGAAGTCCAGCAGTAACCTGTCATGAGATACTACATCGTCTGAATAATCATTTGGAAAACGAAAATTCCGAGGATCAGCACGCCTCCTAGGACTTCTCCTTGAAAAAGAATCCCAAAAAAGTCTTCTACTATTCCGTCTTGCTTCGCGACTAGTTATTTCAGCAGGACTATTAGAGAAAACATTGGGAGAGACATTCGCCATATCAACGTGAAGTGCACTTCCATCTCTTAAACTCTCTTCCCTTTCTGACACCAGAAACTCGAGACCCGATGATGGTGTATCCTGACGCAAATCATCTCCCGCCAAATGTGGCGTAAGTGAAGAATCCGAAAGAACAGATACAGAACCAGAATCGGAATTATTGAAGATAAGGATTTCATTTGTATGATTTACAACAAAATCTTCACTTGATGAAGACTCTCCGTTTCCGTGATACAATGGACTGCTAGAACGAGAGGACCCAGCAAATATTTGAGAGACATCTCCATTCGCTGTAGTATCAACACTATTAACAACATCATTTTCTGCCCTTTTGTTTAAAGAAAGTGGATAGGGAAATGGTCTGTCGTCTCGAGACGTACTAGCAGTTTCACAACCTGTACTTCCAGGTCGATATCGAGTGACTAATTCCATGTCTTTGGTTGAGTTTTCTCTTCGGTTACCTCCCTGAACATTAGCATCTCCAGATGCAGATTTTTCACTATTTACCAAATTGCTCGCAGATGAAGCTCCACGTTCAGCTCGGGAGGGAATAAAATCAGCTGACGGGTCCTTCTCAGAGTTTTGGAGCTTTCCTTTGTCAGCGTGTTCTGCAGAATCCACCAGCAATTCAGCTGGATCATCTTCCATCTACAGATTAACAAATATAAAATATGAATTGAATTTAAACACCTAAAGTACCTAACTCTACGTCAAACTTCTCGTTTAAGATATCTAAGCACATGGCCCAAACGGTCATGTAGCTTTAAACAAAATGAGAAATACAAGAACCCCAGATATCAGTTCATTGCCTGATAAATACATTCATCTTTCAATGGACAAAAGAGCATGAGGCCAAATGCTAGAAGCTGAAATTTGAAATAAATTCATCTATCAATGGATAAAAGGGTCTATCGGAAACAACCTCTTTACCTTCATAAGGTAGGGATAAGGTCTGCGTACACATTACCCTCCCCATACCCCACGTCACGTGTGGGATTTCACTGGGTTTGTTGCTGTTGTTGATTCAATGGATAAAAGAGCATGAGGCCACATACTAGAAGCTGAAATTTGAACATGGTCTCCAAGGGTTCCACCCACTTCATTGACCGCTAACCCACACCCTCGGATGCCAATTCTCATAATAATATTTTATTATCCAAAACATAGTATCAATTTCTTTAGACCATTTTTCCTTTTGCACATGTCATCCAATTTTATGGGATGTTCTCAAAGGGACCAAAACATCTGACTATGATGTTTTTTTTTTGACTGTATCATCTGACTATGATGTACTTTTAAGGAACTGAATAGAAATGCAACAAAACAAGCCCTATAAATCAATTAAATCTCATAATATGAAATCAATCATTAAAGGGCAACTAAAATCAAAATCAAAATCCTGGGGTCTATCAAGATATTCATAACAATCACATACAAAAATGTTGCTTCATAAATAGCAAAAAGCAATAAAAATCAAATCTTGAAATTGCATTTAATAAAATAATCAAAAGGGGTTACCTTTTTTTCTTCTATTTTCAGCAATAAAAAACAAATCTTGAAATTGCATACCTCAATGGCTGAGCGAGAGGATGAAGCCCCACATATGAAAATGGATGAAAATGTGTATTTGGTGCGATTTGGGCGACTTGGGTGTGACCCCAAACGGCTACTGCTTGAACCCATTAGACTCAACCACCCCTTCTCTTCTTCCTCAAGAGAGAGAGAAATAGAAATAGATATAGATATAACAGATAGAGAGAGAGAAAGAGAGAAGATGGAAAGTCACTCTCCCATTCAAGTTCTTGAAAATCAAGAATCCATTTTTATTAATTATTTTTTCCTCTTTGTTATGTTCTGTGATGTGGTTTTTTCTAGAGGGAACAATGTTTTGTTTGTATGACAAGGTGATGACTTGTTGCTTTCAAATTGATTTGTGGTTAAGACCTAATATTGAATGTGATGGTTGTAATTAATTCTTGTGGTATGTTTTTTCGTACAAGAATTCTTGTGGTATGTTACCTATTATAAAGTCTTGTCTTATTTGACTTGTTTTGTATAGCTTCCAAAATTTAGAAATGCTATGCTAGGACAAGTAATAAGTTGACTAGTTTGAGTTCAAATTCATCAAATTATTGTATTGTTGAATTTTTTTTGTAAATTAACCATTATATTGAAATAAGACCACCAATCATTTCTCTCCTTTGAGACTAAAGCCTAGTTGTTATACAGTCAAATATCTTTATAACAACCGCGTTTGTTTATAAAAAATTGAATACTATATTGAAGTGTTTTATAGAGGACATAGTATAACATAAGAGTTCGATTCCGAAACAAACTTGACTTTTATAATGAATGATTGTTATATAGGGTTGATGTTATAAAAAGTTCTAATAGTAGGTATCAAACCTTATTAACTTAAATTGTTACATGTGCCTAGTGGAACAACTAGTCACCAATACATAGCGTTTACATAATATGATCCAATCAAAACCGCATGAGCAACTTGGAGCTAGTGTTACTCGTGTATTTGCTCCTTGTGAGATTGATAGGATGATTGCTTTAGCTAGAGCCCTAATCCTCTTTGTCATCACAACAACAATAACGACAACAACAAATTCAGTATAATCTAACAAGCGGGGTCTGGAGATACTAGTGAATATGCAGCCTTACCCTTACCTTATGCAGGTAGAAATGTTATTTCCGATAGACCCTCAGCTCCAAGCAAGCATGTAAAATCACAACATTATAGAGAATATATATAGTTGTGTACAAGTTAGGGAAGCATAACAACAGCAAGATAGTAGAACAATCAAAACACAAGCAACATTAGGTAGTTAGAATTCTAAGAATATGAAAATACTATAATAACGCTAGTACTACTGGAATGAAAGGAAAGACGCTCAACTACTTCTAGCCTTCTATCTAATCCTCGCCCTCAACACCTATCAAGGATCATGTCTTGGGTAAGTTGAAGATGCGCCATGTCCTGCCTAATTACCACTTTCCAATATTTGTTTGGCCTACCTATTCCTCTCCTCAGACCCACTCCCATCAATCTCTCACACCTCCTCAACTGGGATATCTGAACATCTCATCTTCGCATGCTCGAACTATATCAACCTCTGACGAGCTCGAAACACACACTTAAATTATGCTCGCTAATCAAATATAGTATAGTATAATCTCGTATCCACAAGAATTGGATTTAAATAGTATTCTCGTAGTTTCAAGCTTGATTACTATCCAATATGATCAACAATTGAGACTTATATGATTTCTAGCTTAAATTAACTAAGAGCCTAAAGCTATTGACTAGTGATAATTGAAACAATGAATAAGCAAAGAAAGTTATCAGTGGGAGAATATAGGGTTTTGATAGGATAGGTGCAAGATAAATGTTTGTGATATAACTCTAGATAATTCACTTTTAATATTCAAGTGAGTCTCTCGAATTCACTCAATTATTAGTTCAAACGTTCAGCAAAAACTCATTTCTCAATTAAGTTTTAACCACACAAGATGAACCAATTTAAGCACCTAAAGATGTGTAAGAATGCGTAATGGATTGGTCTTTAGGAGATCCTCTCTCGACTATCCTCCTAACTAGGTTTAATCAACAATTCAACTAGCCTCTTTCAATTACTAAGAAGAATTAATGAACTCAACCAACAATATAATGCAAAGATATCACAAGTTATGCCTCTCTCGATTACATGAACTAGTGAATATAGATGCAACAATTAAATCATTCAAAAATGCTTCAATACATAAAACTAGAGTTATAATCCACAAACAATCACCAATACACCAAATCCATCAAAACCTAAAGGAACTTACACCATAGATATGGAGAAATTAATCACAAATATAGGAAAACATAAATTCGATCCAAACTCGGGTCCTGAGCGAGGAAGAAATGATGAAATCATTGTGCTTGTGTTCTTCCCACTCCTCCTTAGCCTCCTTAGGTCGAATATGTGTCAAAAGTCCAGAAAATAATGTTTTTCCATGTATTTATACCAAGCAGGGTCGGGCCCAAACGAAATCACCATTTCCTAGATGAAATAGGAAAACTTGCAAACTTAATGTTTTTCATGCGTCGCACTATGCTACGCCCAGTTCGTCGCATCTGTGCAATTTTATCGGTCGTAAACTCTCTCAACTTAGCTTGTCTGACAGAATTTTGTACTGATGCTACGCACTATGCCATGCACTATGCCTAGCATTAGTGTATTTTTCTGTCATACCCAAAAATTACAAGTCTCTGAACTTCTCAAATTTCCGACGCACATTTGCACTGATGCGTCGCACAGTGCTACGCATGGTGCATCACATTAGTGCATTTCCTTAGAGTGTTGCTTCTTCCTTGATTTTTGACATCCAGAAATGATCCTCGACTCCCGAACACGATCCTGGCTTAATCCTTGGCTTTTACTCAGACTTCAAAGCTCCAATTATTTAATTTAGCTCCACAACATCTATATAATTCGGAATCATTCTTACAAGGCATAAAATATGCAATAAGTGCAAAATAATACTAATTAAAACTTAAAACAAGTAAAGTGTAGTAAATTAGAGTGCAATAAGCGACTAAATTCGAGATTATAGCCTATCTTCGACACCCCACACTTAAACCATTACTCGTCCTCGAGCAATCAGACTACACTTCATATAGATACGACCTTTTTAAACAACTCTCCTAACTCATCATACTAAGAATATTTAAAATAAATTAAGCACAATATCGTAACATCCTCACCTCAAGAATTGACTCACAGGCACCACGCATTATTTATAACCTACTCACTTACTCTAACATAGAGGTAAACTGCATTACCTTTTCTTCGTGAATCAAATGCCCCCACACAACAATGGGGAGTAGTTCCACACACAATCAAATTTAAGAATAATTAGGAACTCAAGATAGAAAAAATTCGCTCACTCTCAGAAATAACATTAATGTGCCACAAGAGACGTACCATAAGTTTGCCCGTAGTGTAATACTCTACTAATTGAGCTCATTCAGACAAGGATCAAGTAGGACTTTAACTGGTTGTAATGTAGGTTACGGGACGAGTAGGATACATTTAGATATAAGAGTGACCACACCTCCCTAAGCACTTTGATACATACAATTAACCATTCAAAATCTCACACTTATGTCAAACCATAACTCCATATTCACATCAATATATATTAACTCCCTACGTCTTTAAGCACAGATACATCAAGAGTTACCACTATCAAGGAATATTTTTCCCAATCATACACTTTTTTTTTCTTTTTCAATTCAAATGGCTCTTAATTTTTTTAAAACAGTGCACATTTTCCCTTATTTCAGTAGTTCCACTCAAAAGCCAAACCAACCGCCCCACACTTCAACTTTTGCAAAGTTCATATCAAATTCAAGTGCTCACGAGAGATAAAAGGTTCAAATAGATGGTCAATTCAAACAAATGGGTAGGGCTTGTAATATGGTTGCCAAAGAAATAAGATTACAGGCTCAACGGGGTTAACTAAGATACATAACAATTAGGTGGGTAAAAGAATATAAAATGCCTATATCACTTCCAAGACTGAATAAAACTACTATTTTGCTTTGCAAATACACGGGTCAAGTTCTAGACATCAAATGCAATGCATAGAATAACACAAAACCTCACACCCACATGGCACATAACTCACTGAGTATTGGATTATCAAGACACTCTAGTCAAAGCAGTTAAGCAAAGTTAAGATCATATAATTTAAGGTACTTACATAAGAGTAAAAAACTAAGCCTAAACGTCAAAATTAAAGCACTTACTTTTCTCAAGGCATAATAGAGTCAAGAAATATAGCCTTCCATTCAAATCATGACACAAGGTTTCCTACTATTCTAAAAAATAAAAACTAACTACACCTGGTTCAAATAAAACCCTTAAAAAAGAATCGCGGCCCAAAGAATAACCAAGGAGAAATTAATACACTTCCTAATAAAAGAAAAAAAATATCTTTTTCTTTCGACTTTACTCCCTCAAAAAAACCGCCGAATGATATCCATCGTCGGGAAAAATAAAAAAAATTCAAAATTTTATGTTTTTTTTCAATTTTCCAACTACTACAACTAACAAAACTAATACATATACATATAATATACAATTATCCCCCACCCCACACTTTAAGTTGTGGCATGTCCCCATGACATACAATTAAAAAGTATAAGGTAAATGAAACTTCCTTGAACATCTAGTCGGGGTCTGAGTCGAAGTCGGGCTCCATTCCTCGCCTTCGGACTAATGCGCACATCCATGTAGACAGCTTCTTCTTGGCCTTTTTGTGGTACACCTCACACGTATCTTTCTTGCTCACTACAACCTTTTCCTTTGAGCCCTTCACTTTTCACACAACACTGGCAACTGTTTTTTTCTTTTGTACCCTCTTTACTACATTCATATCAAAAGTCATCGTCTCCTTACGCACTCTAAGCATGAGTTTTCTCTCGTGTATATCTAGTATAGCTCTACCCATTGCTATTAAAGGTCTTCCTATTATGAGGGGGACCTCCTTGTTCTCCTCCATATTTACCACTATAAAATCTACAGGAAATACGAACTTATCCACCCGAACTAATGCATCTTCCACTATCCCCTCGGGTATTAAGGTCGTTTGGTCTAACAGCTCCAAAGATATTGGCACCGACCTTATCTCTCCAATCTCCTTCTCCAGTTTTCTATAAATAAGTAGAGGCATTAAGTTAATTGATGCACCAGAATCACATAAAGACTTATCAAAATTTATAGTCCATAATGAGCAAGGTATAGTAAAACTCCCTGAATCTCCACACTTTTGTGGGAGTTTGTTTTGCAATATCGCGCTGCAATACTTTGTGAGCTTGACCA